CCGGGAGTGGCCCGGGCATTGTTACAATTATCAGTCTCTGGCAATTCAACAAGAATATCGCTTAAATTGTTAGAATGGCAGTAAGATACTATTAGAAGGCTTTTAAAAACATTTCTACAACGTTCTGAGGAGCAGAGGACGTGGGAATGTTTGTGAATAATGTGCGCGACATTCAGGTGGCAATGTAGAGTTATATGTAATAACAAAACGGAGTGGTTTCAGTCTGCGTAGGAGGTTTGTCTTTAAGTGCGTCAGCACGAGGAACGTCTCAGGCACGCTGTATTTGTGTCGTGAGAAAGGCTTTGTCGTAACCACGATTGGTAAGGTAGTTAATAAGTTCATTAGTAAGCTGTATCTAACTGTCATGGCTGGAAAAGATGCGAAGGCGAAGTGCAAGGCTGTAATGAATAGAGCGTTTAGTGTGATGAGGATGACAAGATGAAATGACAAGATACTGGTGTTTGTCAGTAGGTTTAGAATTAATAGGTCAGTTTCCATGAAGCCATCCTTGACTGAAACCATGACATCAAGGAAAGGGATATTTTTAAACTAGTGTAAGCATGTAAACTTTATGGTGAAGTTTAAGTTGTTAAGATAATCGACAAATAGCTACAGTTTCTCTAGACCTTCAGTCCAGATCATGAAGATACCGACGATGAATCAGAGCCATAATAATAGTTGATAGGGAGCTGCGAAGAAGAGCGTCGTGTTCGAAGTTTCCAAGAAATAAGTTGGCGTACGACCGAGCGATTCTAGTGCCCATAGCTGTGCCGAGTTTTTGAAGATAATGCATGCTGAGAATTAAAAGTAAATTTGTTCATGGTGAGGATAACACAAACGAGGTCGCAAATGGCTTCTGTAGAAAAAGGTTTTAATTAGCTCTAACAATTTAAGCGATATATTTTTGTTAGAGCTCAATTGCCAGAGACTGATAATATGAACAATGCCCGGGCCACTCTCCCGGTTCTTTTCGGTGCAACAACAGGAACTGCAACACATGGCCCTATATTGACCACCGCCGTGACAATTATACTTTTGCTACTCTACGGGTGAAACCTACGAAATAAAATCTCACATTCCTTGTAATCTTTTCAACATGTTCAATGTTATCTACATGATTCAATGCCGCCTTTGTAACTTGCAATATATTGGGGAAACTAAACGCCGCCTCCAGGACCGTTTTAATGAACATAGACTTCCTATACTTAACCGGCCTTCGGTAGTCGCATCCAAACCCATAGTTATTAGAGGAGACTGGTTATGAAAAGCGGCAAACATCAATGATAAGAACAACAGTGCTGCATTTTATGTTGGAAGTACCGTGAAAGTGCACAATCCTTTGTTTTCTGTTGGCAAATTGTTACGGAATAAATTAATGCAACGTTTTTATTGGTCAGTGCAATCAAAATGACAGGAATTCTTTTGAACGTTGTGCACTTTCAGGTCCACAAAAACATATAACAAAGGCGTCTGACGGGTTTCATAACCATTCCACTCAATTAACTATGCCAAACTGCAGTTTCAGGACACTCTCTCAGCAATAGCCATTTAGATATGAACACGATTGTCTTAGGAAAGCAAGTGAGGCGCACCCCATTCATAAAGCCAAAACAATCGGCCTCTGGGAATGAACAAACGTGACGAATTACAATCATTCTTTATCTATTTTTCTCAGCAGCCACACCTTACCACGTCATACCATGTAATTTCCGTTTATTATTTTACAGTAGCATATATTCTGTATATTCGTGGTTTTCCGTAATAAAACGGATGAAGCCTGGTAGTGGCCAGTCGAAATGTTGTATACCTTAGCCTTTTTCACGTTGTTTGATCAGTCTTTTCAGTAGTCTTTTTGACTTTAATTCTACTTTTTTTGTCTTGCTTCGAGACCACTGGATCCTACTATAACGTGTTCCGAGGACACAAGCAATTTCGTTTTCTTATAAACGCGTTAGAGACCTAATAGCAGAGCCCCATAGCTGAGAAAATTCAGTTTATCTATTCGGTAGTCACGTGACCGTCCGTCCGTCCGTCCGTCCGCACAACAGGGCAACTAATGTGAACTCTCACACTTTCTAGCTAGCGGTGGAAGCCTGCAACTTGCTATTGCACACCCATCATGATCACTATTAACAGCTATTGACAGGAGAAGTGTGACGCCAGGGTAGCAATCAGTATTTCTGGATCACAACAATGGGGCGCTTAAGCAACAACGTCGGCGACGGCAACGAGAACGGCAAAAAAGCAATCGATTTACATTAGCAAAGCAACAACTTTGCACGTGCATCACGCTTTTTGTACATTTCTTAGCCGTCGTTGCAAGTCTGCGACTTGAAACTTCCTAATTTCACACGCCCGCCTTATGGAGTTGGTGAACCCAACACAATAATTTTCTTTTCTTTTTACCAAACTGAGATAGGGTCCTTTCGGATTCAACCCCGTACAATTTTGCCAAGATTTTACAAATTCAAATGAAATGGAATAAGATCGACGAAGCTTGCATCAGTGCGAATTTACTTTTTAAGTGACGTTTTCGCGTTGTTGTCATCCAGAAATTTTGCTGCCATGACAACGTGACGTAACACTTCTCCTCTCTATTCCAGGGTAAGTTTATGTTTGTGTAACGGATGTAATTTTTATGCTAAATGTACTATATTTACCGTTTGCTTCATCTGTAGCAGTATATCGCTAAATATGTAAGAGGAACATTATAGACAATAAACAATGACCTCAAAATCCTTCAAAATTGTCCAAAATACCACTTCTCTGGCAAAAGGACGACAGTTTATCGTAGCTAAGGTAATACAACGTTTATTTAGCCCTGATCGCCTTGCATTTTCACTACACATCACCCACTGCGCATAGCATGACGACGTCAAAGGTAGCGGGGATTTTATTACGGGTCGCCTAATTAAAGAAAAGTAACAAAGGCCCCTTTTGTAATCCTTCCCGGCTAGAAAAGATGTTGGTCTTAAAACTTGTCTCAGTCCCTTCGCTAAAAATGATCTTTTAAACCCCAAATGTATTTGTCTCTTTGTTGTCTTTTCACGCTGGGCTCATAGGACGCAAAAAGCTGTAACATAAGAACTACTTTTGCATTTTTTATTCGTTACTTTAAGCTAAAACTTTGCAGGATAGTAGAACTCTGTATTCCAAAAATACTATGTTGTTTGTTTTTCAATTTTAACGCTTTTTGGCGGGAAAATGACATTAATTTCCGCAAAACAGCAAAATTTAAAGTTCAAGTTTTGGCAAAACAAATAGATAATTTTAAAAGAGCTTGACGTGTCGTGGGCCCACCTTATTTTGCAATGACGCCAGACAGGAGCCCATCAGGGCGGTTGCGCGAGAACGGTTACCTCTAATTTTATCGGTGTCTTTCATACGTTATGGCTATCTCAGCGTCTGGAGTTACAGAGGTTTATAAGATAATGTTAAAACTGTCCAATTTTCTTACATTTCTCTAAGATCAGGCACTGACTTAAAGTCACTTAACTGAAAAATTATTGCCCAGACAATATTAATGCAATTAATTAAATGGGCCCTAAGTTTTAGTACAATTCATAGTTTTACTATATAAGAATTTTTGACGGTTGTTCAAATTTATTTAGTCTGGTGAAGAAGTATCCATATTTGAAGGGAACAAGGGGAGTGGTATGGAGGAAGTATATAATCTCCTGCGCAGCTCTTTTTTTTTGTCTTCGAGTTGCGTCAAAATAGGCACAAAAACGGCTACGTATGAGGCTACGGAGGAAAGCTTAAGGTGGCTCCCTAGAGTATTTACTAATAACCCCAGCTATCTAGCATACGATACGGAAGGAAATCCAGTTACTTTGTCTTTGCGATTTGGTTCACGAAATTTACCGCTAACTCTACCCTTGTAAAAAGGCTCCTTTATCAAGTTTTATTTTCTGGATTAAGGCCGTTGCCATGGCAACATCGCATCCCTAAACAGGCAGTTATTTTGTCATTTTTGATCATTTTTTCTTAATATTTCCTATTTCCCTCAGTGAAATGTCTTTAAACTTTGCCACTTTATGTTAACGATATTGCTTAATTAAAGTGGAAAAAACAAGAAGTCGTTAGGACGGTTTCGCCAATATTTTGAAATTTGTAACTTTTCTTAATAGAGGAGTTTAGCTCTTACAGATTTTAACAAGAAAAGGACAGTACAAAGGAACTGCAACTGTTAAGAAATGAGGCGATTTTTAATCTGGGGTGGGTACTCAATCATCATGCATTACCTCTTCCTCTCTAGTCTCCTACGCAGCCGTTTTTGTATCGATCTTCACATTGACTTCACGCAACGAGACAAAAAAAAAGCTGCGTAAGTGAATACTTCCTCTGTACTTCTCATGTCCCCTTCAAATAATTTCTCTTTCCAGACTAAACCGAACCCATGAATCGAATGGAATTCATAAAAATATTGAGCATGTGTATAATATGAGGATCGGAGCATTTAATCCTGAGAATATAAATTGAAAAATTTCGTCCATTTTCGTTAGGACCTCTGGTAAAAATTCATTTTCAAAAATTAGGTGTGGTCCACGGGGGCAACTCATTGACTGGGTCCACAAACAGGCCCATGGACTAGGTCCACAGAGGTGGTCCTTGCATGCTTTGTACACCTTATTACATGAAATGTTCGCCACACGCTACTTTCTAGAAGTTCGCGATACAAAAACAAACGCGAAATAAAGTGACGCGAACAATGAGTGTCGCGAACATAACATGACGCGAAAATTAAGAGACTGTAACTGCTGTAAACTTATGCGGCTTAGTACTGGATCGTTTAACTGCCATCATCCATCCTCTAAGATACATTACTTTAATGACTCAGCCCTCGAATTATTCAAGTTATTTCCTTCTCTTGGGTTCTACCAGTTAGTTTTAATGTGCTAAAAGTTATCCTTTATACGTTTTATTTCAAAACAATTCCTG